GGGCTGGCCAGAGTTCATATCAACGAGCTCTAACCCGCGGGGCCAAGCCCTCAAATGTCAGCCAGAGGACACTTCGCGTCGATTCCCCCCCCCCCCCACACCCCTCCTGAATCGACGAGGGTCTCTATGTCGGTCAGATACCACCAGTAACGAACGGTTAGATCCGTGTTGATTTGGGTCTGAAGGCCCATTTTCAAAGGGGACACAAGGCCGGGACTAGGGATTTACGTTTGTGGTGATTTCTAAGTCAATGAGGGCCCCTGAGTTGGTCAGAAACAGTGTCCGAGGTGGCCCGGAGAGGATCCTGAAGGACCCCTTGGGATCAACGATCAAGGGCCCCATTGGAGGGCCGAAGGGTCCGAAACGCTGACTTTAGGTTACATTGAGGATCCCGGCCCGTGGGGGTGAGACTTCAAACGTCAGTCAGCCTCTTATACCGATTGGATACCGATTGGGTATAACTTATACCGCGCTTAATAATCCGGTTCTCTTTTTTGCCCAGAGATCGACAACACGGAACAGACGGCTGTGTCGATTCGAGCCCTGAGGGCCCATTTCCAAGCATATCAAGTTTGCGTGGGACAAGGCTAATGTCCGCGATTTGCATTGATCGGCCCCCTGAAAAAATAAGGGTACCTGTGTCGGTTAGGGTCCAACAGTGCCTAACAGGGGCGCTTGTGTCAGCAAGGGGTGCCTGGTCAGATAGGGGGACATTTGATGAAGAGGGGCGGGGACGGGACCCCGAAGGACAGAGGGTCTCTGCGTTGGCCGGGCCCTCTGACAGTGAAAGGAGGCATGGCAATTTATGAGATCCCATAGAAGACAATGAAAGAGGCCTGTATCAGTCAGGGGTGGCAGTGCCAAACAGGGTCCTCCACCCCATGTCAGCCATGTGCTCGTTAAGCTTAGCTTGAGTCTGTGTACGAGTTATTGGACTCCCCCCCCCCCCCCCCCCACTACGGTATGGGATATTTTTCGGCAATAAGAGCCCTTGCGTCAATTGGGGGGGGGGGGGGGGCAAATGCTGGGGTCAGAGGGCCTCCCGAGGCAGGGAGGGAGCCAATGTATGCTTTAGCCACTAAGGGTCTCAGGATCGACCAAGGGACCCTGCCCCGTGCCGCCAGAATGGCAGCCGGTGCTTACGCCGCGCTGGGACAAAATAGCCCCTCAGCCCGGTGGCCGAGAACAAAAATTAACCAATTGTGTCCTTCCCGCAGTGTCCCTTTCCCGGAAAAAATGGCACGCGTCTCATTAATAGTCCATAAGGCGGATCACGATAAGGTCAAACATGGAAGGAGGACATCCATGTTCGCTGAGAACATCCATAATTTTGCAGAACCATCTTCTGGAACAAGCAGCATGAAGAGTTTTGCGCCTGCGCACTCGCAACGTTAGGAGCTAGAGCACCAATGGCCGTGGCTGTATTTTCTGTTTTTGGCCTGCGCACTCGCAACGTTAGGAGCTAGAACACCAATGGCCGTGGCTGTATTTTGTGCAAAACCGAACTGCGTTGGCTGCTGTAGATAGCACCAGGCGCCGGACGTCGGGCGCCCAAGATGTACCGCCCTGGAATAATGCCTTCCAGAAGCTTTCAAAATCAATTCACACGGTCCAAGAATAAGATTGGGGCAGTTAAGTTCACCGCATAATTTTGAGGCTGTCCTCTAAACGTAGTAACAATTACAACAACGACATGAAGAATATATCATCTAGACTACTTGATACAGTGGCAACTGCTGCCGGTTAATTTAAGAGCCTTACGTGTTGGGGAACCTGATGGGTACCTATATGGAATATGTAAAGAGCTGGATTATGTAAAGATTTTGGAAATATTTGTTTTTAAAACACCACCTAATATTATTGCTTATACTTTTTAAGTCATATTTAGTTCCATTCACACTACTTTTAATCTTTTCGTACCATTCCATTTTTAATCTTCCAGTGCTACCATCAGATCTCAACACTAGTTCGCGGTGCTGTAAATGGTAATCCGTTCTTATTATCAATATAAAAATGGCGCAGGTGAAATGCACACACTGACTGCTTTCTACACGTGCGAATTGACGTCCCAGAGCATTCAAAAGTAATTCTTTCAGATGTGTCGTAGTTTTCGTTCGTCCTTTGACCGCCGCCTTGTGTTCGCCTTGTGTTGGCCGCGGTGTCAACGCCGCACAGCCTATGGAGGCTGGAAAGCCGAGCGGCGGGCTACTGTTTCGAAAACTTGCCAGCGCGCATGCCCAAAGCTACGCTGTACATTTTTTCGGCAATCAATTCTGAATGATTTTTGAATATTTCTAGACGAGCATCGGTTGACCATGTTGATGCAAATTTCTGATCCCATCTCGATTTATAAACTACGTTCACGCGGCCATCAATACCTCTGCAGAGTTAAGAAACTTCTGACAAAGTCCTTGAGTGTTGAAAAAGCTATTCTCAGAAAGAGTCAACTTAATTATTTTAAAACGGAAAGGCCCGCCGTTTTATTCCAAGCGGTCAGTGAACGGCCGCTTCTTTTAGTTCATTGACTTCAAATACAAATAAAATTGCATCTACGGTTAGTTTTTGGCTTCTGGCCCTATTAATGACGATGAATTAAAAATGAGACGGAGAATACATGTCCATTGAAATCAGGTGGATCATACCCAGTGATTTTTTTGAGCTGGGGCTATCACTATTAGTAAGTGGTAGTTATATAGGTACTTCGCAAAATTACTTTTATTTTGATAGTTGCAATAGTAGTGTGAATGGGACAAAATTTGGCTTAAAAAAGCAGAAGCAATGATATTGGGTGACATTTTTTGAAAAATCTACCCTCCGTGTCGTAAATAGCTTCCTCATACCCGTAGCAATATCCGTAATTTCTAAAAGCTTTATCTAGTCCAGCTCTTTACACATTTCATATCGGTACCCATGAGGTGGCCCAACACGTGAAGCCCTTTAACTAACCGACAGCAGCTGCCACAGCATCAAGTAGCCAAGACGATTTGACAGCCACTCGCCGCTAGAACTGACTTGACGAGTCATAGGTCACACCCACTGATGGAGGTCGCATCGAAAGGTGGTTCAGTTCATCAATGAACATAATATACAGCTATCCCCACTATCGCAGCGCACCCATTGCCTGTTTCTGAAAGAGGAAATAAATTCGCTAATGTGGCCTCGCTTATCAAGTTTAACCAACCAAAGGTCACCTGCACCGATATTAAACGGCATTGATCCCGCACGGATCCACGCCAGCCATACAATGCCCCTGTTTCTCTTCAGCCACAGCGTGCTCAATTCTCGAGATAGCACGGGTATGTGAGGCCCTATCAGCCTATCCGGCAAAGGTGAGGGCAAATGACGTCCGGCGGGGCTTAAATCAACAGACGCTTATTGAACAGAATAAGGCTTTTAGTGCTGTCTTGACTTGTTTTACTGCCAATGTAAACAGCTCATAAGGGCTAATGTTTCGCCGACACGAATTGCCTGAGGGCACCGCTCGATTGCCGAGTGCACAGTAAAAGCGGGCACAAATGCGCAGGGGATTGTTTATCCCTTGATTGAGCTGAAATCGTTACAGGATGCTTCTTGCAAAGTCTGAGCGCAGTCCACAGCGCCATTTCGAAGTACACGTAGTCGTTCGACTACTAGGGATAAAAAACATAGCGAGGGTTAAATCAGGTGCCTCTCCCAGTCAACTCACCCACTGCAAGACATCGAGGACAATTGGTCGCTGAAACATTCAAACACCAACATAAACAAACCAAACTAAAAGTGACATACAATAACAAAAAGTAAACCCTAACCAGTCGGCTTTGGACTCCACCAAAAGCTTGGTCTACGCGGCGGCACTTCGACTTACCAACACATTTTCTCGTTAGACCAAAGAGGATGCTTCCTCAACAAAATGAAACCAAAGGACCGTCTAAGTTTACGTCACAAACGCCACTCTAGGTGGATGCAAGCGGTGGTTGAGTGGGTTGCGTTGCTGCGGCGTATAAGTAGGAACTCATGTTAAAACGTTATTCACAGCCGATGATGCAAATACAAAGCAAAAGTAATTCTTAGCCTTAGACGTCGGCATCTAACTTCGGGTAATGCCTTTAACATGGAAGACATTTCTAAACGTCATCTGAAAAAACGTGAATGAAAAATGAAATGTCAAGAAAGAAATGCATATTCGCATTGATTAGCCATTGATCCGTCTACTTTTATATCCCATGTGTACGTTTTATAGGTGCTGACATTTGAACGGCATGAATAGACCGGCGTCATTGCATTATTTTCTTGTAAGAAGTTGCATGCTATGCAACATTTGCATTACATTGCAAATAATTCCGCTTCGGGATGCCTTTCGATTGATCTCAGATTTTCATAGGATATTTTAGGGTTGTGAGTACCGACCCTAAAGTCTTTTCGGATTTCGGTGATTTTCTGCCGGAGGTTTACTGTGCACCACTTAACGCTGCATGAAGCCAGTCACAGCAATTTTTGTGAGCCTACCTAAAAAGGTGCTAGGTTTCGGTAATTTTAGCAATTGGACATCATCTTTCGCGCACTGCCAATTAGTTGGAGATTGCAAGGGTGTGACCGAACATGCGCTAGAAAATATGTCCCCCAATTTCCCAAAAAGGGAGCTTCCCTGCAGCCTGCCTCTAATTTAGAATACACGATTTTCATACTTTTCCATTCAAAATGCTGTGCTCAAGTCCAGGTTTTCCCCATATTTCCGTTTGACCCCTCCCTCTCCCCACGGCCGATGTATTCCCTCCAATATCAGACGCGTGGTTGCACCCAGGACAGTTTCACCCATAGGTGTTTGAGTTCATATTCAGACTCGGGGCGGTTCATTTATAACATAAAGCATGAAGAGCGTTTTGATGAAGCGCAATCGAAGCGTGACAACGGGAGAAAAAAGTTGGGTCAGAACATTTCTTTACGATACTATGCTTTTTACTGTGATTTTGAAACCTTCATAATGATAGTCAATACGGCGCATCAAAGACGTCTGTGAGCGTCAACGTTTACCGACCGCCCGGTATTATTGTTTTGCGTTTTCCATGCATTGCGCGATTTCACAAGGTAGGGGGCCGACGTTTTGTTTGATTTTCATGGCTTTGAAACGGCGGGGATTTTTTGGGATGTAGTGAATGACGTGGGCATGCTTGTCCTTTGACGAAATTGGCAAGACCGCTTAACATAAGTAGCGCCCGGTGATTTCCTTCGAATTCATGGACCTTTTTGTTGAACGTTGTCACCGTCTCATGTAACTTTTTGTTGAACGTTGTCGCCGTCCCAAAATTGACGGAATGTATATTATATTGAACAGACATTGCAGCAATAATTTCAGCATGCCTGCCCCAAGTTGTCTTGCCCATAATGTGGCACGTGGTCTCCGAGAATATAGTTCATGCTGGTAATGTTCTAAGGAATCAGGCTGTTTTAATGGTATGGTCAATAAAGAATGCACCCATTATTTTAGAAGAATGTCCTGCAATCATCACTTAGACCTGGCCTCAGTTTTTGGTAGGCATGTGCAAGGTTCAGAGCATTAATGTTTTTACAGCATCCAGTTTAGTGGATTTATTTAAAGTTGTAACAGAATGGTCACCATAGAGTAGGTACAGTTGGGTCCAGTCACTCCTTGTTTCTAAGATCATTTTGACATTTTAAAGCTTGACTTCAGACTGATAATGATTCAGATATATTGACATCAAGGACATTAGTCTTCCCCTTTCAGCAAATGCTTGTCACTGGGGGCCAAAAGTATCAGGGAATATATCAGTCACTCTACATTCATACTCACTTGCTATGCTCAAAACCTTTATGTAACTGTTGTCATCTCTGGTGAGGCTAATATAGCAACCTTATTCATCCCAAAGTGTGAAGCACCCCCAAACTGACTCAACAAGTCGCACATGAGTGGGTACAATGCATACCTGGAGACATGCAGAAGTATTCTGTAGCTTCACCCCAAAACAGAAATATCTTACAGTAGGCACACATGGCAATATTATGACAAGTTAGATTATGGCAGACAGACAGCTTTCTATCATCACTCTTCTTTTGCTGAGGACACAAACACCATCTGACCCTACATACCCAAAGATAAACCTCAATGTCTGCACCTGCTCCACAGCATGTTTATTGGCTGTAATCATCCTTATTGCAAAAAAGCAAGAAAATAATTGTGTGCTGGTAAGACTTCTTCAGAACGTGCATGTTTCTAGGGGTAGAATCTAACGCAACTCTTCCAAGCTAACCTGAGCACCATGAGCCCTGAGATGCCACAGCAAGGTTTCAATTTTTTCAATGTGCTATGATATTTTTAGGGTTAATGGACATTAGAGCACTGATTTTTGAGCTAGCTGACCATCATTTAAAGTCACAGCCTGTATTACAATTTATATTGCTTAATATGAATGCATTGAGGTTTATACAGTAAGGCCTCTAAGGTAAATATGGTGATACTGGTGATCTGACCACAGCATATTGAGGATTACATTTTGGTGGACAATCAGGGATCATGCGGCTTGCTCTCACCAGTCTTTTTGTACATTAGAAGCTGGTCTGCTGTGAATCTTGACATCTTGTGGCACCACATGGATCCTATATTTCATTGCATAATCATGCTGAAGGTCACACTTAGATTTGCTGCAGTCTGGCTGCTTGAGGACTATTTTATTGTGATGCATTACAGGAGTTATGAGCATACTTCAGGCTAAGCAAGTCTTATTGTTATTGCAACACAGTTCCGAATCTGAGCTGTTTCAGCCTGGCTATCACACTTTTTAGAGCATAGTGTCTTTGCAACTACTGATTGCACATTGATGCAGTTTCCAGGAACAAGAATTCATTTGCCAAGCAAGGTGAGATTGTTTTTAAAGTGCAGCATTCAATTGCTTGCAAGCTACTTGATATTGTTCATTGACTTTCAACCTTGCAAAATCACCACACACACACACACACACACACAAAATGACCAAAATCCCCATTCAATTTACATGGAAATTATAGCATTCACAAATTGGAAACAAGATCTGAAGCACATCTCATAATTGGATCAAAGTCTCATGACTGGGTGGTAGAGCTGCATAGTATGAAGAGATTCTGGGGTGGGGAATGACATAAATCATGTTGGTGTGCATATGAAATGAGTTTGTAAATGCTCATGCCCTCTCACATGCAAACCATGCATCAGCCCTATTTTAAGGATTGATGTGGGATCTCAGCAACCAAAGCAGGTGAAGACATGAGACCAACTACACAGCATGCACAAATGTGTTCTTCACAGCTCACTAGATTTCAAAACTGTTCGACCTGTAACAACCTGTTCAACCCAGGCACTAATCGACTGAAAGGTGGCCCATGACGCGTTTTCCGACACTGATCCAAAACACAAGTCACTGTGGCATGAACTAGGAGAGATGGGGCCACGACCGCACAGGTGTGTGATTTTGGTCCGAGTGACCGACATCTACACAAATCGTTTGCGGTTTTGCAATACGATGGTGAGGGGAACTAAAACCGTGAATCATGGCAGAATCACCCATTCTGGCGATTGAACTGCCGGGCTTGCCCAGGTCCATACCAGCCAGTCTTCGAGTGATGTCATGTGCGAATTAGCATGTCAGTGCTTCATCAGTGGGCCCTGTCACGTTAAACCCTCATGAGGAGCGGATTTTCCACTGCATTAATTAACCCATCCGTATTTGCTGCCACAGATGTCTGGATCCGTTAGCTTAGTCCTTCCGCGTGGTTGCAACCATTTCCTCTCACATCTGTTGTTGCCTCGCTGGTCCCAGGCTGCCCAGCGCGACTTACTGCTACTATCGTACAGGCGTTTTCGTTGCAAAGTGCGACATTCAGTTATATCCTCACTATGTGCTTGCTTTATGACAGTAAGTTTCACATTGCATCACAGCAGCTTTAAAAAGGACCAGGGAAGATATATTCTTAATCCACTACATGTTTTGCTACACTGTGGGTGTTTCAGATGGGGACATCGGTGCAGTTTGGGTATCCCACCTTTGGGGTATATTAAACAAGAAATGCCCCAGTGAAACCTCATGACCAGTTAGGTAGTGCCAATGCAGCACTGTCAAGACATAATAAGGACATCATTTTTAATTATCTTCAAGTCCAAATCACGCTGCCAACGCTTTGTAACAGCGCTACGCCTGTTCTCTGCAGTCGCGACCATCTCCGTCTTGACAACCGCTGTGCGCACATCTACTGCTTCGAATAAGAGAACGTTTGCCATTGGTCCAGCGGGCGGCAATGGCCCGTGACCGAGAAACGAAATCTGAACCAGTGCGTCACTATAGACCACGTGATGCTCCCATTACCATTCCCAAAGCTCACCCCGAAAGCAGCCAATGTGGTAAACACCACATAGGGGAGAAATAAAAGCCATGGTATAGCGTTTCGCTGAGTGCGCGAGATAATGACTTCATGTTTGCATGTGTTTTGTTTAAGCAGAATGTTTCAAGCTTTCATAGCATGTATACATAACATTATTAACATTATTACACAACATTTTGGCACGTTAGTGTGGCAAACATTACGGAACACTAACACGTTGGAACGGAAAAATTGAGGCAAATGAATTGCATTACTCTCGGACGGTGAGCAGGGAGTCGAAGAAGATTTCTCCCGCAGGAGCAGCCACTTCAAATAGGGATTCTGAATTATTCAGAAGGACTTCGAGAAAACTGTAGTAGTGATCAAATTTTACGCGTGTGATGTGACAACAAGTTAAAAGTTCGAAAGGTGGGATGCTGGCTTTAAATGCCTCTTGATTCCTCAATTCGGCCCATCGCCTATGTTCATTCGATGGCTGACATGTCTGCGGGGCCCACTTGGTACGTGCAATGTGCCTGACAGCTTTCTTGGCTTGTTTTAGGCATTGAATGACCATGGAGTCAAAAGATGAAGCAATGTCCCAAGACAGCTCAGACAGTGATGACTCAATGCAAGATGATGCACAAGAGGAAGAGATTTCGAAACTCATGCAAGAGGTATGCTTTTGTTTGTGCATGCAGTGATGTCAAGTTCGTTGGAACCTGCATGGCTAGCTGCCGACTGATAATCTATGGACTTAAGAATGAGGTCGTCAGTCTAGAACCTTTTTGTATGTCATAGATTAAGGGCCAGTAGTGATATGAAAGCGCCATTAACGCAACTATTAACTAATTCTTGCCCCCATTACCATGGTGTGCAAAGTTATGCTCTAAAAAATCAACCATCCTCACACTGTGTGTGCCAAACAAAGCCAGACAGATGCCAGCTCCAGCACCGGAACACAATAAGACTCAAAAACAAGATTGCGTAAGCGTCGACAGGTCACGGTACGAAGTGCGACCGCGTTCCCGCGGAGCTGCCTTGAAATGCTATCACAGAAGACCTGGCTGCACAGCGCTCGGATGGCGACGCCCGGCGATCAGGTACCCCTCCCCCTGTTCGAGCAGCCTCGTCACGGTGCGGCAAAGTACGGCGCGATGACGTCAGCGCCCGGTGCCTTCCGAGGCGCGGCTCCTCCGCCGCCGCCGAACGAGGCGTGTGTCACGAGACCCCGCGGCGCAGCACTGGCAGACCGGTCGACGAAAATTAACGTGCGGCAGAGCACCACATGGTAGAAAGTATCACTGGAGGGCAGAGGTTTGCTGACGGGCTCAAACTTCCCAGACCCAGAATCCGGCTCGGGCTCCGTTTTTCACCGCAGTCGAGGCTTGTTGCCGTTAACAAGCCGATGATAGAGCAGAGCATAGCAGAACAGAACGGAACAAAACAGAATAGACCAGAACAGAAGAGAAGAGGGCGGAACACAGCAGAGCAAAGTAAAGCGGAGCAGATGAAAGCAGAGCAGAGCAGGGCAAGGCAGAGCCGAGCCGAGCCGAGCCGAGCCGAGCCGAGCCGAGCCGAGCCGAGCAGAGCAGAGCAGAGCAGAGCAGAATAGAACAGAACAGAACAGAACAGAACAGACAGAATAGAACAGAACAAAACAAAACAGAACAGAACTGAGCTGGGCTGAGCTGAGCTGAGTTGAGCTGAGCCGAGCTGAACTGAGCCGGGCCGAGCTGAGCTGAGCTGAGCGTCGCACAGAGGTCGCACAATGAGGCGGGGATTGGGGCCGGAGAGAGTCGCGGCGTCTGCAGAGACTGGCGGATACACAGCCCGCAGCGGAGCCGCGGTTACAGATCGGCGATAGACGGCTCGTGTTTTCGGACGTCACTCGGCCGCCAGCATCCGGACAAGCGCCGCTGCGGCGCCCGACACTGGAAGTGGAGAGGCCACCCGGTGTGCAGATTGTGGCGAGTCCTTATCTGAGCCGGTGCCATCCACAAGGTCTAGCGGATGGGAAGCGCTCTGGTGCTGACCAAGGTCATTAAAGTCCGTAGATGGTTCGCTTATTGCGATGGGTTTCAATGTAAGCGCCATGTCTTGCCATGCTGCCACAATCCCGTCCGACCCTTTCCCGCCCGCCAGACACTGATACAAATGGTCACAAGCGACGGCGATGCTTCAGCTCTGACGCATGTGCCCGCATGCTGGGATAATCTCACTGGTTTCTGCCCGCTCTGATGCACAAGCGCTAACAGGCAAGCATAGCGGCTTATCAAAAGCATTAGTCATACCGCTTTGTCAGTCGTCAGAGATCAGCGTCTCGAAACATTACCTGAATCAGGCGAACTCAGCCAGTGTGACTGTTTGAACGCGGCGAATGTGGTCACCTTTTTACGACAAATTTATCGTCTCCTTTCTGTTCCGCGCAGCTGGAGGCGTCGCCGTACAATTATGACTCGCACGTGCGTCTGCTCCACCTGCTGGGTACGGCCAACAGTCGTGAGATGCTGCGAGAGGCCCGGGAAACCATGAACAAATACTTCCCGCTCTCCCCCGGTAAGTGACCTCGAACTCGCCGAGCGGACACCCGTTCGGTTCGGCCCGCGATCAAGATTATCTTGGACCCACGTGAGATGGATGCTGTGTGGGACTTTGTCCTCTGCAGGGCATACGCTGTAGCGGGAGAAGTGATTTTAAAGACGCCTGATCGCGTGCTCGTACCGTTTTTTTTGTTGTGCGAACCGCTGTTGTGGTCTGTTTTCAATGCGAAGGTAGGCCCATCGCTAACGCACATTGGCTGGGCTGTACACCGGTTCGTGACGGGCGTGACGAACAGGACGCTAACCGTTAGTGGCGTGCCTACAGATCTGTGGCTGAGCTGGATCAAAGACGAGGAGAAGTCGATGGAGACGGACGAGGATCGCGAGCGGCTGCTGGCGCTCTGCGACCGAGCAGTTCGCGAGTACTCCAGTGCGTTGCTGTGACGCCTGTTCACCCATACATTGTGCCACTAATTCTCTCACTCACTGTCACTTTCTTGTCGTTACTACAATACCCACTCGCCCAATCACTCACGCGCGCACGCACGCACGCACGCACGCACGCACGCACGCACGCACGCACGCATGCACGCACGCACGCACGCACGCACGCACGCACACAAGCACATGCACGCACGCACGCACGCACGCACGCACGCACTCACGCACGCACGCACGCACGCACGCACTCACGCACTCACTCACTCACTCACTCACTCACTCACTCACTCACTCACTCACTCACTCACTCACTCATCCATTCACGTACTCATGTATTGATGCATCACCTTTTATAATTCACTAATTCGATTTATTCACAAGGTCTGTGCACATTGATGCCTTCCTTCGCAAAAGCGGCGTAAAACTTAGTGATCTCTCTTGCTAGCAAACCGTGAAGTGATGCTGCATGCTATGCCACATGAAAGGGCGCGCGCTTAGCGCCACCATCTACGCTGCATAGCATAAACTACCCGATGCCGCTAGTTTACCTTTATGTATCAGTTGCCGGTAGTTGCACATCTGTGTGACTGGGTTCCACTTGTCTTATTGCTACAACCCCTCCCCACACACACACTGGTCTGAGTATTACTGTTTTGTTGAGGATAGTATACCCCTGATGAAGACAATTACTGGATTGCGAATGAGTCCCTCAGGCACCGTCTCCCCGCTACAGTGCAGCTCTTGCACCCTGGCCCTGCGCGCCAGCGCGTGCCGGCGAGCCGCCTCCGCACCTGACCGTGATGAGCGGGGCCGGCAGGTGTGGACCTGTGGCTGGAGTACTGTCAGCTGGCGATCGGCGGTCTGGCCGCCGAGGACGGGCCGGTCCGCGTGCGCGCCTTGTTCGAGCGCGCGCTCATCGCGGTCGGCCTGCACGTCACCAAGGGCACCCTCATCTGGGAGGCGTACAGAGAGTTCGAGAATGCCATGTGCAGCGGCGTGCCGGTGAGCTGGGCGTCGGCGGCGGGCTCGGGAGTGGCGGCCTAAGGGCAGCGCAGCGGCGTGCCGGTGAGCGGAGCGCCGGTGGCGCCGGGCTCGGGAGTGGCGGCCTTAGGACAGCGCAGCGGCATGCCGGTGAGCGGAGCGCCGACGGCGGCGGGCTCGGGAGTGGCGGCCTTAAGGCAGCGCAGTGGCGTGCCGGTGAGCGGAGCGCCGGTGGCGCCGGGGTAGGGAGTGGTGGCCTTAGGGCAGCGCAGCGGCGTGCCGGTGAGCGGAGCGCCGGTGGCGCCGGAGTAGGGAGTGGCGGCCTTAGGGCAACGCAGCGAGGCGTGAAGCGCAGTGCGGTGTTTTCGTTAGTGCTCGGATGCCTCGAATGCTGAGGTTTTGTTCTGCTAATGTTATTATGAAGGGGCTTACAGATCTCAAGCCATCATTGTAATATTGAAACGCAGCTCAGTGTTTTGGCAATGTTGAGGCCCGGAGAGCGTCAGGGTTGGTTGTGATTGGGTCTCGGCCCTGTCCCCGGTAGCCTGGCGAGGAGAGCGCGGCGGCGGCGGCGCGCGACCGGGTGACGGCGCTGTTCCGGCGCCAGCTGCGCGTGCCGCTACAGGGGCTCGAGCTCACCTGGGCCGAGTACGAGGCATGGCTAGCCGCCGCTCCCACCGCCGCCCAGCCGGACGCCAACGACCGGCGCGAGTACGACAAGGCCTGCAAGCGGCTGGAGACGCTGCTGCCGTTCGAGGAGGCGCTGGTGAGCGGCGCACGTGCGAGCGGCGTTCGTCGCTGCCTTGGCGCATGGCGGCCTGATGATTCGTGTGTTTGGATGAACTGTCATGGTCAGGCTGCTGAGGTCATGTGCTCTCCGGTATGGACGCCGCGTGGTGGGTTGGGCTGTCGGGGAAAGTTGCAGCATACTGTGAACGTGGGGTATTTGAGTTGTTTTCGCGGATGGTATTCTACGTTTACATTGCTCCGACGCATTGCGCTACGGCTGTGTGTTTCAGCAGTACATGATCGTTGTTGACAGGTGGGTACGCCGGTCTAAAGTGAACAGGACCGCGGGAGGATCGGGGGTTCCCACGCGAATAGTGGCGACACTCGCTGCCCCGACCCTGGTAAAAAAGGAGACCCCCCAGCACGCTCTCGTGCCGGCCATCACCCCTGCGTTCCCCGGCAGACGAGCGACGAGACTGGCGGCTCGGTGGCCGCCTACCAGCAGTACCTGAGCCACGAGCTGGCGCACGGCACACCGGCGCGCGTGCAGCACGTGCTGGAGCGCGCCGTGCTCGACAACTGCCTGGAGCTGGAGCTGTGGCAGGCGTACACGCGCTACCTGGACTTCGAGCTGCGGCCGGCCAGCGAGGTGACGCTGGCCGTCCACGAGCGGGCCGTGCGCCACCTGGCCTGGTCGGCCGAGCTCTGGGAGCACTACATCCGTGCTGTCGAGCGGGCCGGCGCGCCCCTCCAGCGAGCAGAGGGTGAGCACGGCTGCCGGGGGCGAGAGGCCGCCCGGATAATCCGAGATCAGCCGGAGCGGCATGTGGGGTCCGATCTCTGGTAGAGGCGTCACGTCAAGTGCAGGAGTCAGCAAGTTGCTGTGTGTTGGTCAGCTACAAATTGACGGATTAAGTCTGGGATAGAATGATATTGTGCTCGGAGAAACGTTGGCAAGGGATGTTTAGTGTCGTGGCATTCCTGTCAAATACCTACATCAAGGGGTCAGTAAATGCGTGGAAAATACCTGACTTTCTGTTCATTATAATGACTTGCCATGCCCCCAGTGCCGAGCGACGTGCCAATGGTAGCTGGTGCCGTACCTTGCGAGTCTGACCGTATGACAGCGCGCGTCGGCGCCGGCGCCGTGACCGAGGTGCGGTCTGACCGCTGGCCGCGTGTGCCGGCGCCGTGACCGAGGTGCGGTCTGACCGCTGGCCGCGTGAGCCGGCGCCGTGACCGAGGTGCGGTCTGACCGCTGGCCGCGCGTGCCGGTGCCGTGACCGAGATGCGGTCTGACCGCTGGCCGCGTGCGCCGGCGCCGTGACCGAGGTGTGGTCTGACCGCTGGCCGCGTGCTCCGGCGCCGTGACCGAGATGCGGTCTGATCGCTGGCCGCGTGTGCCGGCGCCGTGACCGAGGTGCGGTCTGACCGCTGGCCGCGTGCGCCAGCGCCGTGACCGAGGTGCGGTCTGATCGCTGGCCGCGTGTCCCGGCGCCGTGACCGAGGTGCGGTCTGACCGCTGGCCGCGTGCCCCTGTCTCAGAGCTGGTGACGAGGGCGCTGTCCAGCGGGCTGCAGACGCCGGCCGACTACCAGCTGGTGTGGCTGACCTGGCTGGACCTGTACCGCCGCCGGCTCAGCCAGGACGGCACCAAGGGCGCCGATCTCATGGAGAAGATGCGGGTCCAGTTCAACAAGGCGTGCGAGCACCTTGCGCAGAGTGAGTCCCTTCTGGTCACAGCCGGTGGTGCAATGGGCATGGCGCGTTGGTGACGCACGGTATAGTGGCTGGTGTGCATTGTGTGTTCCGTCACAAGGACGGGGAGGAGGAAAGCACTGGTCGCGTCTGCCATGTACAAGAGGCCTGTTCACAAACGCAAGTCACTGTGGCCGGAATGGTATGCGTTATCCTTTTCGCAGAATCGATCAGCATACCTTAGAAACTCGAACTGTCAAAGATGTGACTCATACGTTCGCATTTGGGAGGCATTTGTGCATTTAGTAGAATCATGCGTTCACACTTACCTCCGTTATTAAAAGATCTGTTTCGGTGCATTTTTTTGGCGGGGATAAAAACAGGTTTGCTTGCTCAAGGCTCGAGTAGTTTTAAGTGTAAACCAGACATGGGGATAAAGTTCGCTTCGGTATTGACTGGGCTTTGCGAAGCCAAAGTTTTTCTCCAGTGGCCCCAGATTTGGCCGCGGCTTTCAGGTGTATTCCACGGCTGGCTTCGGTCGCGTCTCCGGTTTCGTGCCATTTTAAGTGCTATCTACGGCTTCAGGCTAGATTTTGGCCTCGAACAAGTTTTGCGTTATGGCTCCGACTTCGGGTCCAGTCGACTAAAACTACTTGGACTTTGTCATGCTGATTTTCTTCACTGCAGTTGTTTTTTTTTCTTCCCAAAGAGCAGTCTTGCTTGGCCCGCTACCCCGATGTCCCACACAATTTGTCAAGTGGGCGCAAAATGACCTCCGACGTCGGCGCACTTTTAAACTCCAATCATCATCATCACGACGCATGCACGGTTGAAGGCCAAAACCAGCCGGTGATTCTTAGGGACACTAACATCTGATGAATGCTGGGGAACGAACTTTCCGAAACGTTGCCTCCACTAACAGAAGACTGACGATACTCCGAATTATTTTTCATCCTCAATGCGAACACATTGTCTCGTTCACTCCGCAAAGCCTTGCAATGTTTCCGGATTCCATGCGGTTTTATCAGACGCAAAAAATGTTTTGGCTGCGCAAAGGAGCATTGTTCACTAAACCCGGCTTCTGCTTTGGGTTCGGCCTGCATATTTTTAAGATGGTGGTTGGCTCTGGCGTCGTGCTCCTCAAGTGTGAGGGTCCTGGCTTCAGCTTCGCGCGTACAAAGTCCGAAACCACTGGCTTCAGATTCGGCTTGGCGGAAACGAAGCCATTGCCTTCAGCTTTGACTTTGTTTTTATATCATTGTCTTTGCCCAAAATTAGGCTTCGAAGCCAGAAGCCTGACTTCATCCCCATGCCTGGTATTAAATGGCATGTGCATATGGCTGGGCGATTGCAACAACTAAGCAGGCGTATAATAACAACAGTTTATCAACAACAAGTTAACAACAAGAGCAGTAACCACAACGACAACAGGTTGAAAGCTTTGACGACTTTTGCTGCGTTCCTGTTGTCACACAGTGAATATCAGCTGTTATCGTACGCTATGTTCGGAAATACCGGGCGATCATGAGGCTACAGTAGCTGCTGTCTGTGAACTACGCGTGTTGCGCTTTTCACGTTCCTATAGGCTATCCGGACTCGTGGTTTGGCTTCATCCCTGCCGATTCCAACAGCCCCGGACCGTTGTGGCGCGGCTGACACCGGCGCCGCTGTTTCAGCGTTCGGTCTGGAGGGCGACCCCGAGTGCACGCTGCTGCAGTACTGGGCCAGCCTGGAGGCGGCCAACGGCCTGCTGAGCGAGGCCGTCGCCCTCTGGAACGACATCATGAGCCAGGGACACGACAAGTCGGCCAGGATGTGGCTCCAGTACCTGCGGCTCGTCCAGTCAGTCCCGCTCTGTGGTGCCCCCCCCCCCCCCCCTCCCAGCGAAAAGATGTGGGGTGTGAGGTGCATGGTGCGATAACCAAAAGAGCGGGAAGCGGGGATGTCACACTTTCCAGTTTCAGTTTTATACAAGTTATCTCAGCTATCGCTGTTTCTATCACGGCTTTGTCGCTTCTGCCACCATGGGCTATCAACTGAGTCTGAGGATAAACACACATTGTTGTGCTAATGGACACAGTCCCGTTTCATTCGATGCTCTTATAACGCAGCTACACGCAGGTTTGTTTCATCCAGTTACGGTCCGACGGTGCTCGTCTCCACAAATCCGAACCTGTTCTCTTGGCTCAAACGTGAGCACGTCGCCTGGTGTGACGGGACCGGCGTGCCGTTAACTCCGCATCGTCTGTGAGCTGACCACGAGCGGCGCGTGCGGTGTCCTCACGGGGCGCTCGGCCGTGCCTGGCATGTGACCTATCCTCCGGCTGCGGCTGCGCTCAGGCGGTTCGGGACGCCGGAGCAGCTGCGCAAGCTGCTGGTGCGCGCGCTGGACCGCACCGTGGACTGGCCAGAGAGCGTGTACGAGCTGTGGGCGGCGTTCGAGCGCGAGCGGGGTACCCTGCAGACCTGGGACGAGATGACCTACCGGTGAGACAGGCCGGGCACGGCGCCGGCTGGCGGGGCTTTGGGCAGGGGATCTGCGGCTGGCTGAATGGATTATGCGTGACTGACTGGACGACATGTAGGACTGCACTGGATATGTGGTGCGTGTTTGTTGGATGTGACATGCGGCATAATAATCAGATGTAAAGTTACGAGGTCCGTTTAAAAAGATGTGAGACTACGCCTTTAAAAAGCAGAACACGTTCCTGATTTAAATTTGCTCGCCATTCCTTTTGAAATGATGGCCTCGCGCAGCGATACACTCCTCGCGGCGCTTTAGCCGCGCTTGAAACGCTCCCTGAAGATTCCGTTTTTTAAGCGCTTGAAGCACCATGTGCGATTCTCGCTGAATCTCCTCGCCGATTTTAAGACAGTCATCTTTTAGTTCTAACTTTATCTTGGGGAAGAGGGGAAGCCACAGGGAGCCAAATTCGAGGGGCAGTACAAAGTGAAGGGAGGATGATGCTTTCGGTCGGGCTAAAAAACTCACGTTTTCAACGCACTGAGCAATGTTGGGGCGCCGGGCATAGGTCGGTGGCCTGTGCCAGGTGCTCAGGTCAGTTTAAGTGACCTCTGAGCGCTTGGCACAGCGTGTGACGGAGAGCAGTCTGCTTCTTTTCTTGTTCCACTCGCGGAGCTATGCCCCTGAATTTGTCTCCGGGTCAGCCTGCTAACGCTGAGTCCTACTGTGCCTTGCTGAGGCGTCTGCGGGCGAACAATCGGCGCAAACGACCTGGAATGGGGCGCAATGACAATTGGGGGGCTCACGGTCGACAACAAAGCCACTCGGTGTGTGCAAAGCGCGCAAGTTTTTGCGCTGCACCACACTGTCGGGGCTGCTCACCTGCCCTACTCGCCAGATTTGGCGTCCTGGGGCGACTTCTCTTCCCCATCATAATACTGCCAGCTGTAGGGCAACCGTTTTTACACGGACGGGCTGATCCGCGCGGAATAACGCATGGTGCTTGACCCGCGTAAACAGCGGCACTTCCAGGAACGCCGGGGGTGGTGAAGCACTGCAAATGGTGATTGCTTTGAATGAATGGTGACAAAATTCAAGCCAGTACTGCAGGATGTAAATTGTACCACACGTGAACGAGTAAAGTGCGACTGTCGTGCTTATCAAACAGTTTGAGTGGATGGACGTGAAGTTCTTGGCAATGCATATGAGGAATAAGTAAGTGTTCGTGCCATACTAGGCATTCACACTGGGCATTCCCGCCTTGTGCAATGTTGGTGGGAGCGGTGCTATGAGCGAAACTCGGCAGGGTAGCAATCTTTATTTGTTCCTTCCATGCTCAGCTCTCACAGGTCCGGTGTATGCTTAAAAATAAACGTTATCCTCTTCACAGTTACCGTGTCCGTATGAATCGTATCAAAGCCCTCCGAGCAAAGGAGGCGGAAAAAGAGAAGATGGAGCTGGACAAAGCGGAAGCAAAGGTTGAAAAGAAGAAACAAAAGGATAAAGAGTGGAGGAAAAATAAACGGCAAGAATTGAAAACCGCTAAAAGTGCTGCGAAGGAGCTTCCCGCGAAAACAGAAAACACCAGTCCACAAAAGAGGAAGGTAAGGACTTGTCATGACATAGCTTGATGCCCCTGGAAAAGCTAGACGAAGTTTGCTCAAACTAGCGGGAGTTATGCCTCCATGCGATATTTCTTAGGTGCGTCGGGGAAGCGCCGCCCCGGGTAATTATATAGCGACCCTTGGAGGAACTGCGTTACGTTTGACAGCGGTTTCAGAAGGCCCTCAGTGCGATTTGCTAGTAGTTATGGGCGGGCTATCAATCTGAGGTGTTTCCCGTCCTCCTTTAATATCCGTTTCGCGGGAGCGGGTAACAGTGGGATGTCGGGGTAACTCTCTGAGCGGATGCAAACGAACTTAAAGAGATACTTAATTGTAGTGCTAATGGACAGTCTTATTGGGTTTGGAATGACGTGGCCACGGCGAGAAGCGGCGATTGCAAGCTGTGACGAGGAGCTGATTCGCAGTAAAGCTCAAATTAGGTTGTCACCGCCAATTGAGTGCGATGTTTGGGCTGTAAAATACGGACATGCGAACACGTGTGCTAATGTTCAGTGAGATGGGCTCTTGCTGCATGTTGGCTAGTGCTCCTTGAGCTGTGAATTCTGGAGTTCTTATGCTACAAGCTGGTTCAACTCACGTGAGATGGTGAAGTTGCCGGGATATTTATCTAGATGGATATTGATCTAGGTGGAATTTGTCGAGATATTGACCCTTGTCTCTTCCGTGCCACGGGAACGCATAATGAGTGTCCACGGGTTCTACGGCTATGAGATGGGTAGAAACTCTCTAGCCTGCCATTACATGTCACGGGGCTGCGTGAGTCACCCGCCCATGTTTGTTGTTATGTTACGGCATCCGCACTTCCATGCTGAGCACCTGACTGACCGCGAACGTGTGCCGCAGCTGGAGGCGGATGATGATGAGATGCGGCCGGCGCCTGCCAAGAGGACCGACGCCAATGGCGACCGGCCGGCCCCGCCGCCCGGCTTCAAGCCGCCTCCGCCGCCCGGCTTCAAGCCCCCTCCGCCGCCCGGCTTCAAACCGCCCCCGCCGCCCGGGTTTAAACCACCCCCACCGCCTGGCTTTAAACCGCCGCCGCCGCCGAGCGAGACGCGGGAGGACGAGCGGCGGGACCGACCGCCAAAAGGTGGGCTGGGTGGGGTTGGGGAGGGGGGAGGGAGGGAGGGAGGGAGGGGGGCGGATAGGTACTGATCCGCGACCGATGCTGGCGTCCGGCTGGCGTTATGTGTGTTCACAAGCTGAGAAACACCGTTGCTGACCGGCGTAGTTCCTGTTATTCGATGAATCGCCATTGTTTTTAGCTCATAGAAAAGCAAACATGCCGCGAGCTATTGGCCAATGGGCATTAGTTCACACAAGGCGGAAGTTCGGAGCTCAAATGAAAATAGTGACCCTGAAACGCAGGCTTACATTGTTGCACACATTCTGTGTTCGCGAGGAACGTTATTCCGCTCATAACAGAACCCGTAATTTGTTGGATGCCGCATCTCCCCTTGCCATGTCGGCTGATTTGCGCAATGAAACGAGTCGGAGAATGCTGAATGACTTCAGCACGTATTGATCATGTTACTAACGTCGTGAAATGTCCACGTAGATGGTGATCGAATGTGCTCGTCCAGCCATTTCTGGTCCACGACGGTACTTACTGCCGGATGATGTTACCGAGGTCCTTGCCAATTGTACTTGTGTTTGGGGTACAATGTGCGCCCACTCCCCCCCCCCCCCCCCCCCACATTCACGCACGCATCTAAAGCCACGTATGGATGCGGTGACTCCAAGTTACGTGCCATCACTCAACGATTGGGTGTCAGTCCCCGCGCCAACGCGTTCGCCTTGGCCGCCCCGTGGTGGCCGGGAAGAGCACGACTCCCCTCCACCGCCTGACCCGCCCCCCCCCCCCCCCCCCCACCCTACCCCATCAGGTGACGAAGGCGGCGGCACGGGTGACGTGGAACGCGCTCCCCTCCACCGCCTGACCCGCCCCCCCCCCCCCCCACCCCCACCCTACCCCATCAGGTGACGAGGGCGGCGGCACGGGCGACGTGGAGCGAGACTCGCGCACCGTGTTCCTCAGCAACCTGGACTTCGCCACGGACGAGGCGCGCCTGCGCAGTCACCTGGCCGACGTGGGAGACATCACCGATGTGCGCCTGGTCAAAGACTACAAGGGCCGCTCCAAGGGGTTCGCTTACCTCGAGTTCTCGACCATTGTGAGTACGGGATGTGCCGGTGTGCTGGCCTTAGGGTGACGCCGAACGCCACGCGCTCAGGCCAACGCGTGTTGTTCGTCTGTTTTACGTACTAGCGCGTGCTGTTCAGGCCAGCGCAGTCTGTTGTTCTGTTTCACATGTCACACCGTGCGGGGATTCATAATCGCTATAATTATGAAAATTTTAGCTTTGGGGGTGGTTAGAACAGGACAAAGAATGCTATGATGAGTTGCCGTTGGCACAGGAGTATTACTACTCTTGCCTTCACGTTTCAGTGTTTGTGTATCCACGCAGGCGGCGGCCGAAGCAGTGCTGCAGTGATAAACACCACAGTATCATCTGGCTCCCGTCGTGCCTGTGGCCTGCCGTTGGCTCCCTCCCCTGAGCAAGTGTGCTGTGTCCGCGCAGGCGGCGGCCGAAGCGGTGCTGCAGTGATAAACACCACAGTATCATCTGGCTCCCGTCGTGCCTGTGGGCTGCCGTTGGCTCTCTCCCCTGTGCAAGTGTGCTGTGTCCGCGCAGGCGGCGGCCGAGGTGGCGTTACAGCGCGACCGAGCTCCCATCGACGGCCGGCCCTGCTTCGTGTCGCGGCTGCGGCGCGGCGCGCAGCAGCAGCCCCAGCAGGGCTTCAAATACAACACCGGCCTGGAGCGTAACAAGCTGTTCGTTCGAGGTGAGCGGCGCCGAACGCAGCCAGTCAGCAGGGTCATGGTGGCATCGGCGTCCTGCCGTCAGGAGGGCAGGCGCACGGCCGTGTCTTGTTAACGTTATGGTACCCTAGCTTTTGAATGTCATCGCCTGTTTTACCGCCAGTGGTCTTTCTCTACCGACGTATGTCGTCAGGAATATTCTGAGATTCTTATTAAATGTATGGACCCTACGATGAGCGGGGGGGGGGGGGGGCTGGGCGTCCCTTCACCCATTTAGCCGGCATTGAACGTCATGCCCATGGCGTTGCATTTAGCAGCAATCTGTCCCACCCTGGCCGCCTGCACTGATCAGCGGCCATCAGCGATCGGTTGCGTCTCAGCCTACACACGATCTTCAGCAGGCGCAGGCCTGTGCTGGCGTGGTAGGCCACCAGCGCTTTTCGGTGTGCGCCAGCTGGTCGTTGGCAGCTATCCTGGGGTGCACCGCCGCCGTGTCTGGGTGTGTGCGTCGGCTGGTCAATGACCGCCGGCAGCCGTCCGAGGGTGCGCGACCGCCGTGTCTAGGTGTGTGCGCCAGCTGGTCGGTGACCGCTGGCAGCTATCCGGGGGTGCGCCGCCGCCGTGTCTGCGTGTGTGCGCCAGCTGGCCGGTGACCGCCTACAGCTGTCTGAGGGTGCGCGGCCGTCGTGTCTGGGTGTGTGCGCCAGCTGGTCGGTGACCGCCGGGAGCCATCCTGGGGTGCGCCGCCGCCGTATCTGCGTGTGTGCGCCGGCTGATCGGTGACCGCCGAGAGCCGTCCTGGCGTGCGCCGCCGCCGTGTCTGCGTGTGTGCACCGGCTGGTCGGTGACCGCCGGCAGCCGTCCTGGGGTGCGCCGCCGCCGTGTCTGCGTGTGTGCGCCAGCTGGTCGGTGACCGCCGGCAGCCATCCGGGGGTGCGCCGCCGCCGTGTCTGCGTGTGTGCGCCGGCTGGCCGGTGACCGCTGGCAGCCGTCCTGGGGTGCGCCGCCGCCGTGTCTGGGTGTGTGCGCCGGCTGGTCGGTGACCGCCGGCAGCCGTCCTGGGGTGCGCCGCCGCCGTGTCTGCGTGTGTGCGCCGGTTGACGCTCCGGACGCCTCCAGGCCTGCCGTTCAGCGCCACCGCAGACGACCTGCGGCAAAAGTTCTCCACATTCGGCGAGCTGAAGGACGTGCGGCTGGTCACCTTCAGAAACGGCCACTCTAAGGGGCTGGCCTACATCGAGTTCAACGAGGAGGTGAGCATGCCGCGACCGCTCACGGTCGGCAGCAAGCCTTCACGCCGGAGAATCTACACGGCGTGAGATCCCATTAACGCAAGACAATGATCGCCTCCTCATTACCCCCCGCAGTTACGGCTGTCATGAAGATGGTCATACGATGATACGATAATGTTCTTGGCTTCCTGAGGGACGAAGCAAACAAACGCGGAATGGTGTAATCTTGTCCCCAGTGTGATCAGAAGCTGCGAGTGTATCTCATTGCCGCACCGCGGTTCGCCTCGCGCTTCGGCTATCGTTTGCCAGCTGGCGTCGGGTCTGTCCGGCCCAAGCGACTCCCCTCTCATGTCCCCGTCGTGCCGGACAGGCGGCCGCGGCCGAGGCGCTGCTCAAGACCGACAGCACCGTCATGGACGGCAAGACCATCAGCGTGGCCATCAGCGATCCTCCCAAGGCCAAGGGCCGGCCGACAGAGCAGCGCTCGCTGGGACCGGGCGGCCGCGGCGGCGCCAGGTGAAGCCATTCTCCTATCAGCCGGCCGGCGCATGTACCTGTGCTGTGACCTTTTTCAGCTTACCTTTTCACATGCGGCGCTTGTTGATTTTGCGGACCGTTTATTTTCGAAGACCGATGGTGTGCTTGAATATTTCGGTGATCATAAACTACTCAGGCTCACCTGACTTCGTCTTAGACCGTTTATTTTTGCCAGTAAATCACACAGCCGACCCGGTATGCGGAGGCTCAGGGGATCATTGCTGTCGTGAAGTTGTGCCAACGGTTTCCACAGTATGCAGGGTGCCTCCGTGGTCCAAGATATCGGCCACGAGTATTGCCGGCTCCTCTTCTCCCCCCCCCCCCCGAGCCTTGTCCAGCCGGTGAAGTCAGCTCGGAGTCCAGATATTGTCGAGCGATCCGCGGTGGGCAACAGGCAGTCACGAGGCGATATATTTCTGCGCGGAGTGACAACTCATCCCAAAAGTCAGCTCAATCCAGGAGGCTCAGGCTTTATTTGTAAAAGCGGCTGCGCAGTAGTTCGATCTTGGCGCACTTTAATGGCGACGCCCGTGTGACCATGTTTCAGTCGCGGACGGCTTCAGGTCGCCTTCGTGCCCCGAGCACTGCAGAAAAAGGAGGCGCCGGCCGAGTCGGCCGCGCCCCAGGCGCCGACGCCCAAGAGCAATGCCGACTTCCGCGGTCTGCTCTTGTCCAAGAAGTAGGCGGTGGTCTGCCGTGACGGGGAGCTGTCTCACAAGTCTTTGCTCCCATTTGCATCGTAGCTGACAGTTGATGTGCAGCCAATACAGAGCGATCGTTTGTAGCACATTTTTTCGTTCTGACTGGTTTGCAGTGCATGCGCTGACCTTCGTGGGGACGGGTGTAACTGGACGCTGCTACTTAACGGTGAATGCGCCGACAACCCGGAACAAATGTGATGCTTTGGTTGGAGCCATCTGGACTACGAAGATCGGCCCGAGGCCAATGGAGGCGATGTCTCATATATTTCATGCGAAAAAGCTCATGTCAGTGAGTGGTAGACTGACCAGCTCACAGTGCAAAGATAAAATGCTAAAAGTGTGCATACAGGCACATGAATCACAGTTTAATCACTCATATGAGTCGCTGCAGAGGGCAGCGGGTAAAACCATGGCGAAAAATGGCACGAGACGGCGTCTATGTCAGTCCAGTCTGGCGCCATAGGGTTATGCTCAGCATAGGATGGTATAAGCCGCAAGGACGACCGTTGTGGACACGCTGGAGGGTTCTGAGCCTCCAGCTGCTGGAGTGATCTGTAACAGGTCCGCGCTGTCTCGAACGCGTGACCTCGACAGGCCACGACGGCGTTCTCCGCCGTCGAATGATCAGCAACGGCTGTGCTGCTGCCTGTATATGCAAATTGACTGAGGGAGCTGTTCACGGCTGTTATTTTGTCTGTGTGGAGAGGGCTGGCGGCCTTCGCCGAGGTATGTTCAGTTATCCCTAGTTCGGTATCACCATTCACTGATACCGAACTAGCGTTATGAACGTACTGCGCGCTGCACTGAGTTGGAATAAGCATGTGCCCTCAAGACCTGAAGGTCACAATGGACATGTCAAACACTCAACCACTAAGGACCAGCAGTACACTTATTACAAGCGCGTGCGCGTGTAGTCTGTACGGAGGCCTTTCTTGCATACCATTACAGTCAGGAGTACCGTTTCCTATTTCTTTGAAGCTTTGGCTCCAACTCCCCAAACCCTGGGAGAATGGGTCAAAGCCGGAGTAAATCCGTTTGTTGACGAATTTTAGGTGTAGGTTTCATAATTTTTCACGGTTCCCCAACTGACTTGTAACAACTACTTCCCCTGCTCAGAGAAGCCGATATTTTCAGGCCGATTGCCTTTCAGCCATGATAGAGAAGAAATGAGAGCTATCTTCAATCTCACGTCATCTCATTTCACGTCATTGCTGCAAAGCTGGTGCGTCCGAAACAGTAAACCATTAGTCGATGCAGAGAAAGATGAGAACGGCGACAGAATTACACTTTGGCGGCCTTGACTAATTTGGAGCGTGGAGGTGAGGTGGCGCGAGTGTTATGCTCATAGACGCGCTTCATGCGAGACGGCTGGATCGTGGTTAGTTGGAGGCTCTCAAATTGTCCAGTGAATAGGAAGAAATTAATTGAAGTGATAACGTTGGCTCCGGAGAGTCGCGCCAAGATCTGGATACCCTGAGGATACTAGTTAGCTGTCTTCCCATTGCAACCTCGGTCATAGGACAGGTGAGCGCTTCAGTTTTGTTACGTCACCATTGCTGATATTATATATATATATATATATATATATATATATATATAATATTTCCTATAAAGAGTGCTTAATCTCGTGTTAAAAATGGTTCAAACTCATTACTAAAATCACTCCTGCTCAGCATCACCTGTAAACAGGCTCCCAAATTGTGCGCACATTTCAGACTCATAATGTTCTAGGTCAAAAACTTGCTAGCCAAATTGCTTGAGAAGGGGGCTGCAAGTAGATATCACTTACTATGCAGAGATCCTGTAATGAAAGAGTTTGCCTAGGCATGTGGATTGTGTTTTGGGCTAAATTTACTTCCTGACCTAGAAGATCAAAGGTGGCTGAAACTTGTGTCAGCAAGACTGCTTGTGTCATGGTTCTTGAGCTACCATTTTCATCATAATTCTTTTAATAGAATCTGCCAAATCAGTCAAAGTTAAGGTACCCTTAAGTAATGGAATACATAAGACTTTCAGAAGGATCAGGAACCTATAGCCATGTCCCCCTTGACATGATAGCTCTAGGATTTCTCAGTCATTGGAAGGTTTTTTGCTATATGTGTTTGCAACTCAGCTCACATTAAATGTCTCAGAGCCCAGTTCCTCATTAACTTAAAATTCAACCTCTGCCTGCTGAGGGAGTATCAGAGATACACACCAATGGAAGACACCCTTAGTTCCAAAGGTGGACACACATGGAGTCAGCTGATCCAACCCTACAGACATAGAGTTCAGAGTGGCATGAATAGCACACTTGAATATTATTTGAATAACATCTACAGTTAGGTGATATGTGGCTAAGTACATAGCTATTGATCACACTTTCCATCTTAAAATAAGACCAGCCTATTTGCTATACACACTAGAGCATCAACAGCAACGTGGTTAATAGCACAGTGCATCAACTCTAGCTATGCATTGCTATGTCAGCGCTGATGACTTGCTTGTAAGCAGCCACATACTTGGCCCCTTACCTCTTACTGAGTCAGGGCCTGGGCTGCAGCATCATACATAAAGAAGTGGCTTAATCACTCCAAAGTAAGGAATGGATCTCCATTGGCTAATGAATAATAGGCCTCAGGAGTCTGTGGACTTAAAAGACATGCTATAGGTACTAGTAATGATACTAGGTAACATCTATAAATGTGTATTGTTAAACTATTCACCAAACACAAGATGAATGGTAGCATAGCTTTGGTGTCATAGTGAGGTCTGGGCCTTAGGACTGTACCAGACCATAACAAATTATGTGACTGCATAGACCTTATGGCACCAGAAGCAATGTCTTAAAGACCTCACAACTTTGATGTTTAAGGTCTAGGACTAAGGTGGCGGCTGATCACAATAGGCTGATTCTGTCTTGGTTTTACAATCATAGGATGGTCTTGGAGCTGGGCAAGTTATAGATACCAGTTTAAGCCAGTGACAGCATGAGACCATCTGCTGAAACAAGCTGTGCAACCAGGCCATATCACCATGAGACCATAAATGGTAATCATGTATGCAAATCAAGGTGGCAGATGCTTGTGGTCCAGAGGATGTAGGTCAGGCTTTGCCACTGCACTCTGGTCTGTAGAGGGTGAAGTTAATGGTAGTGACATCAGTCAGGCTGTGGGAAAGTGCTACTTTGGGCCCATGCATATTTGGGTCACTTGCAGTGGAGGCAGCCAGGCTGGTAGCAGGATTGGGCTCACAGTCAGCTAATTTTCAGATTTACATGATAATGGATTGAACTTGGATATTTTAATCTTTTGTTGCTGAAGCTGTGCCTTGGGATCAGGCCACTGTAATTTCGTGTTAGAGCCAGTATCAGCACTTTTGGAGACTGGGAGGGGACTTCCTTACAGTCTTATGATGGCACCCTCCATGCAGGCTGGCAGGGGCCTCTTAGGTTGGCATCCTCCTGGTTTTGTTACAGGGAGTGTCTTTTTTAGGGAGAGGACAGCGGATGGTCTTGTTTAATATGCGAGGTAGTCTGATAGTCTGAAATATAAGTCCATAGGTAGTCTGAAAAGCCAGAAAAAGGCCCACTTTTCAATCAGGCACAGCCCATTTACAGCCAACAGCCCTGCCCTGGTGTATGGCATGTATCCACCATTCACCATTGTCTAATTGTGTTACAGTTGAGATATTATTTGAACAATAACATCATAGCGATTTTGTGGGGCATCCAACAGTTTGACTGCATAGCGTTTATCTCGCCTCCTTGCATTTACCTTCCAACATGATGCTTCTTGCATTTCAGACAGTACATGCATGAACAGAATGGCGCTCTCCCACGGTTGTTTGTCGCGCCTCGTTCTGCGGGATATCTGGACGTCGGGCATGGCAAGCAGAGGTCTCGCTACGTCTGCGGCCGTTCTGCGGAAGACGCGATGGATGCCGACGGCACCCTCAAAGCTGTACAGAGTGCCGACGCGGACCTGAGATCCCTGCAGACGAAAGGGAGGACATGAAACGCCTGTACAACAACTACCGCACTGCGATGAAGTCTTTGAAGTAAGACTGTGGTAGACAATTCAGTGTACTTTTCACGAACGATGTTTGGTGGTCACGTTGCATGCTACACGGGGCCGATGGTGTGCAGTGTGCTGCAAACGTGGGCGCATGTCTGGATTCTTGTAGAATTCCCCCTCCGGCCATCAGCCAAGCTGGTCGGTGTATAAACGATTTTGGTGAGTCCATGCATCACAGTAATAATACGCCAGCATACGGTCTTTTCTAGCCGGCAGCATGTGGAACTGAGCGTGTTTGGCAGGCCTCAGATAGTGTTGTTCGCCACAGCGGTGGAGCTCAGATGACTGCCGCAGCTTACATTCGAAATCTGACGCCCGACCGCCGCGAAATCGGACTGAGCTGATCCCGATGTACCGGCCGGCGATAGGCCCGATTATTGAATCAAACTGCGGAGCTGTGCACGCATCATTCAATGATGTGGCTTGTATCCAGAAACCTTGAAGCTTTATATAACATCCTATTCACTTAAAAGTGCTCTATTTTGGACCTAGCTGTCAAGAGACGGTGCTGCTTCGTAGGCTGTCTCTGAAGTTCATTGCATGAGATGTACGCAGCTCATCACCGTTAGGACATACAGAGTTATCTAACGCGCTGCATACTTGCTGAATATTGGTTCAGTGAATTCGTTATTATGTCAGGCGTCAGCAATTTTTTATGGAATAGGTTTTACCAAGCAACCCTATGATTTACTACAACAGTTACTGACGAAATCTATTTAACACTTATCTTTGTCGTGGATTGGTTAAACAAAACCGTGGCGAATCATGTTAGGCAATTACTTGTATAGTGAGTAGTGAGGTGCGTTTCCTGCTGGGTGGGAGTATTTGGCGAAAACGAGTTGGTTTGTCCTGAAATATGGCGTTGTATCAGCATATGAATCCCCGCTGAAGTTAATGGGCACCAGGGCCTTCCCGACCGCCCGTGTTCCGACCCGACTTCCGCGTCCTGGGTTCGGGAACCGGGCATGGATCGGCGCCCGTGCCTGCCGCCCCCTCTGACCGTGCCGCGTGCCCTGTCAGGAGCTACCTGCGCCAGGACTGGGAGCTGCGCCAGAGCAACCGTGCCCAGCCGGGTCACGTGCTCTCCCCGGAGCAGGAGGAGGCCGAGCACCGACAGCTGATGGCGTTCAACGACGCCGAGAACGCGCGCATGGCCGCCGAGGCGGAACAGAGGTGGGTGCGGCGCGGGACGCGTGCACCGCGCAGCGCACCGGCTATCGTGTTCGCCGCGCTTGCATGTCGCGGAAACGTTTGCCGCAGTTGTCTGGATTGTTCGAGTTCTTGCCACACTCTGCCATGGAGCGCCGCGGCTACACCGGCCGCAGAACGGCCTCGCTCGCGGCCAGCGTCGGTGTGTAGGCTGTCGTGCATGCTTGTGCGTGACCCCTCGCCCACGTGGGGCCCGTCCCGGTGAACCGGAGGCCGACGGCGACGTGCCCCGCAGGCTGGCCGAGCAGACCGAGGCCGTGCGCCGCAAGGTGGCGGCGCTGCAGCAGGCGGCCCTGGAGCAGCAGAAGAAGGACAGCCAGCGCGCCGTGGAGCTCATCCGCACCCAGGAGGTGAGATGCGCGCATGGCGCGGGAGCGTCCGGGGGGCGTCCACCCGCGCCTCGGCTGGCGCTGGGCTTTGGAGGTGCGGTGGAACCGGGCGAAGCGGCTTGACTGATGGGGACTTCACACGTCCACGTGGACCATTCTGTGTGGAAAACGGCATCACAGTGAAGCGCCGTTGTGAGTCCACTATTGACAAGTGCGGTTTTGCACTCATTTGTCTCGCTGCATAATGATACAGCGTAGCTTCATTGCCTCATAGATACACGTGTCTGCCGTAGTGATCTTATCTATAGTGATACAGGCGAAAACTTGTTTTCCTTTTTCCGCATACGAGTTTGTCTTACAAATGATGAAAACGATAAGCGTCTTGCAAATTCATCATCATCCTGATTATCCAGAAGGATTGGCATGAATCGAAATGACACGCGCCGGAAAGCCCGTCGTCCCACGCTACGTCACAGCATGGTATGTCCGGGAGTCGCGTGTCCGCTTCGTGTCCGATAACATCAACGGGAACATTCTGCCCGTCACCACAGGAAATTTCGCGCATGTACATTCCTCGCGACAAGCTGGAGGAAGAGATAGAGAAGGCGCTGGCCGACGAGGTCGACTACAACTACGCCATCGACAAGGACGGCACCCGATACGAGGGGCGCCTCGCCAGGCCGTCCTAGCTGAGCCGAAGTCTGCCGGCGGACCCGGCGCGCCCGCCCGAGTGTGACGCGGGTCAACAGTCCGGACTGGGACCGGGCGACGGCGCCCCAAGCCGCCTCTGTTGGGCGTGGGGCGCCGCCACATTGTGCTACTTTTAGGAGCGTGTTTTAGATGAATTGTGTCTACGTGATCCTTATGTGCGTGTAACGTGCGGCCTGTGGAATACAGAGGGCACGATTTTGGCTTGTGCAGGGCATTTTAAATGCGTTAGAAGTGACTGGTTTTGGGACATTTGATTCTCAACTTGTGTGATTGGGTTGTTGGGCTTGACTTCGTGTCTGCCACCCTGTCCTAGAGGTACGCACAGTCCAGGTTTAACATCAGAACCTTTGTGGTTCCCCAACATTAGTTTAAGGAAAGCTTTGCTCCCCCTCCTCCTCCCTGTCGGAAAAGAATGAAAGAAGTCATCTTGCCCCAGTCCCAAATTCCGCTCTGCCTCCGTATTCTCTGGGACTTGGAGTCACGATTTGATCGTGTGGGCACGATTATCCATTTCAAACCAAGCGGATGGATAAAACGACGCAGCGTGTAGGTCGCTGGGTCCCCATCTCTGGCGCAATCGTCTCGTCACTTTCTGCCGAGAGCGGGAGGCGGGCGTCATCGGTCCACCCTTCACCAGCTGCTCGGTGCCGGCGCACCGGCCGCCAGGGCCGTCGTCTGACGGTGGCTTAGTCGGCGATCCTGGACCGTTGCGAAACCACTGCCGTAAAACGACGACGCATACCAGTGACAACGATCATTGCTTTATTGCTAGCATTGTACACAAATCGATGATCCGATGACCCCACCGCACCGTTAGGCGTGATATTCGTCAACAGTAAGTCGCGAGTGCCCGTTCGATCGGGGCACAGATGGTTAAAGGCGTCAGAGATCACTGGAAGAGACGATATTATGGTTGAGTATACAGCCATGACCCAATGCCGCTTCGGCGACAGAAAGAACACAGGAGTTAACGGACGGCCGCGGCACGACCTATGGCGCGGCACGTGTGCCCTGTCGTTACGGTACGGCGATATTACGACCATTTGTACAATTCTACGGCCGTAACACACTGGAGAAACTTCGCACAACCCGATCAGGTCCCTCGGGCTGTTCTCATTCGTGGCTTATCAGTTAACGATCATTGCTATTTCTTCCGCCACGTGATGTGCTCGTAGCAGAGTTACAGGTATCTACGTGACCAACTCCAGTAACAGTTGGATGTGTACATGCCTTTCATTGTGGCACTTGGTAGACTGTGGCACGCTGAGCTAGCGCGCGCCGCCGGCAAGCTTCATTCAAGCCAGTCGGGCGTAACAAAACAACAGCATCAGCGCCCTGACCTCAACTCGAGGGTAGACGCAACATCAAAACAGCACGGGAGCACCAGCTGGCTCTTCGGAGTCAAACCAGTCTACGGAGGCATTTCAAGAGACTGTCACGGTCGCAGTATAGACAATCCCTTGAGGAGCTTTCCGTAACAGATCATTCGCCTCAATCATTTCCACGCAGATTATCTGCTTCTGAATCTGCACAATTTGGTCGCATCAACAGTCCCGGTCCAGCACTGTTGCTCGCCGGCATGACAACCAGCACCGCCGCCGGCATACCACTTCCCACGCGGACCACGCATCAGCGCCACTGCTAGAAGTAGGACCACGAATCTGACTCGTCAAATGCCACAAAGAAGCCGAGGATGGTGAGGAACATGACGACGTTTCCCGTCAGCACCAGCGCGCAGGCGCCCCACTCAATCACTGGGGTCTTGAGAGGCGCGTGTGCAAGCACAATAGGCAGGCCAAACGCGGACACCACGATGCCTGTGGTAAGGAACACCGCCAGCTCTGTGCAGGCGTTCCCAGTACCCGAGTCCTCCGCATAACGTCTGGCAATTGTGTATGGCAGGGGTGCCAGAATGTAGAAGATGATGACAAAGAATGGCCACCAATTGTTGTAATCTGGCAGGGCACATGCAAGCACCATGAACATGATGCCCAGTGACCCAGAGAATGCCAGCAGGACCAAAGCCTTGACACTGCCAGCCATGATGTGAGAAAGCTGCGGCCCACGAAGTCTCAGGAATGCTTGCGGTCAGCTGAGAGGAGAAGCACATGTTAGAAACTTATTCTGTGCAGTACCTGGGATGCTTTCCACTAACATCATTTACAAAACATGAAACCACATATGTGCTACCATTGGGTTGTTATAAAGGAAATAACCTGATGCAATATCATTTTTGGCTTATGCACATATTTGCCAAAGCATTTGACACATACTTCATCATTTTGCATCAACTGTAGTATTCCCTCTCTGAGCCATGATAATGATACACCTTTGGTCTTCACACAGGCTCAGTTGTGGAACAAGAATTTAGCTGTTGATAAATAATTGGTATAGACCACACATCATGTGATAATTGGACAGGTGGCTCTGTTACGCTACAGCTTAATGCATATGCCAATCTGGTAATAGTTCACAAGCTAGAGATTTATTGGGACACATTCATTTGTGGTGCCATATTTTCATCATCATTATTAAAAATATCTAGCCTGACCATTCCGACAAACACTTTGATTACGGGATATAGTACAGGGCATCTTTCTAGAATAATTCTTAGACACACAACATTGTTGTCAAATCCTCAGAAGCACATACCCCTTTGCACCCAGTACAAGTACGAGGCTTGTTTTAACGTCGCGATTTCAGGCAGTAGATGCTGGATGGCAGGCAGCGATACGCGATAACAAGGCACTAGCAATGGTCAGAATATCTCTAGGCAACATAGAGTATACTATGGAGCAAATACACACAAAGTTGTACACATACCTTAAAAAGCTCACCACCAAAAACTGATGGCGCCGCTCCTCACTTAATCCTCGCCCGCGACCATTGCATGCCCAGCCGCTGGAGGCGTCACTTTACGCTGCAGACTGTAGGCTTCCGGACCGATATGGTAGCTCAAATTGAAAACTTGTGCACAAAAATATTGCGCATAGGTAGAATTAGACACTCACACGGTTATTTTCAGCGGCGCTCCAAAAAATTCCAGGAGGCAAAATCTGTTTTAACTCTAAGATCGAGGCGAGGCAGTGGTCCCTGGGTATTAAATTAAGCGCAATGCTGATGTGAAAATTTTTAAAACAGCTCACAGTCACTTGCCAGATGAGAGAATCATTGTCACGAACGGCGGGGTGAGGCCGCTGAGGTGCACGAAGCGCATTATCTGATATATGGGTCATGGGGTGACATTATGTGTCTATGGTCACAAGATCTAAAGGCACAATAAAATGATAAATAGAGAGTTCCCTGCAACGGTCATGGGAGGTCTAGTACGGTGACTAGTGCCTCAAAAGGCCGCAGCAAATATCACAACGTTGTATTTTGTCGAAAAAGTCACTATCACATGAACATCATCTGCCACGCTATCACCAAACAGTAGAAATATATCCAAGACGCTTCGAAGACGGGTAGGCCTATCCGTGGCGGTCTTCATTAGCCTGACATCTGGTGGTAATAAATCTTACCTCGAGTACAAAGCTCTCAGCAGATGGTAGCACAAGTAACAAAGGAGTGACGATTCTGAATAATGCGGCCAACGTTGGCGTTACGGGCGATACGGCAGCGGAGGGCGTCCAATCGCCACGGTTCTCCCAATAACTTTTGAGTGCCATTCATAGCGTGTCCCAAGGCCATTACATAGCGGTGCGTTGCGTTGTGCTGGGGGTGCGACGTCTTGTGGAAATGAGTGCGGGGGTAGTGGACGTGAAGGGCTATTCCTAACTGATTGATGCAGAACTTGTGATGTCTGGTCTTGGTGGTGGTGAAAGCATCCTCAGATAGCTACCTTGAACAAAATCTCCTCGGCTCCCAAGGTAAGGGAATTTATTGAAAACGATGTCGATCGCATTTCTGAACTGCGTAGCCATTGGCCATGATTAAGCCTAGGAAATCTAATGGACATCCTGCGAGGGTAACATGTGGTCTGCTGTCATCCAAATGCTGAAGGGTAGGTAACATACTTAAAAAATAAAAAGTGCTGATTGGTTCAAAAAGTTGGAATGATATTCTGCCACTGGCTATTTCTGGAAATACAAGATGTTAAAAGGTGTTGGTCAGATAAGTCCTGCTGTCAGAAGGTGTCATCAGTTTGGGTTGAGTGACTGTCTCTGCTGTCAGCAACTGGCACCAGACTTGAACTGTAATGGATGAATAGTGTTGGAAAAAATTGGGGTGGCAGGAAAGATCCTATGTGGATAACGTGACAATGCCTTGGATGACACCAATATACACAAACTTCTGTTTTTGGGAATGATATTCTGCCACTGGCTATTTCTGGAAATACAGGATGTTAAAAGGTGTTGGTCAGATAAGTCCTGCTGTCAAAAGGTGTCATCAGTTTGGGTTGAGTGACTGTTTGTCTCTGCTGTCAGCAACTGGCACCAGACTTGAACTGTAATGGATGAATAGTGTTGGAAAAAATTGAGGTGGCAGGAGAGATCCTATGTGGATAACGTGACAATGCCTTGGATGACACCAATATACACAAACTTCTGTTTTTGGGATATTGTGAAAGCAAGATGGCAGGGGCAACAGCTAACAAGTATTGTATATTAATATACTCCAACAGCGGGAAATGCATATTGAGTTGGAGCTCAGTTTATTAACATAACTATACCAAATCAATTGTGTTCTAGCATGTGAAGGTCAGCTACATGTGATTCTGCATATGTTCTCATGCAAGGTTAACCAGTGGCTACTCACCTGTATAGGCCATTGTTTTACTGCAGAATGTGCTTCTTAGAAGACATTAACATAACCTACATAGGGCTCACCCCACCTTATTAATTGAACAGCTTAACAGTGCTGCATTCCCAAGCATAGCCCTGGCTTTATTCCACACAATATTTACCTTAAGCTGGAAGTGACAAGCATTACCAAAAATCAGATAAGAAAAAGTGTTCACCCTGGTCTGCACAGTAGCATGGTACCAGCATGGTTCCACGGGTTCAGCTGTGCAGACAGCTCATAAGGTGTAGCACATAAGGTGTAGCACACATCCATGGTGTCCATGGCAGGACACATGGTGTACTGAACCTCTTACCTGTTTATGCTAAACCCAAACCAGGCCAGATGTTATTGATGTTTCAAATTAGTTTGGTGTGACAACGTGTTTTTGGAATATGTGTGCCAGAGAGTATTTTTG